CTGTTACAAAATACCTAAAAATAAATAAATAATAACAACAAACCCAAAGTAATAAACCTACATTACCTCAAAAGTCTGAAGGGTGATTGACAGATACCAGAACCCCAGCAAGGTGTAGTGTTAAGGCAGAAACCCTTCAATAAAAAGGACCCTTAAAGGGCCATGAAGGTAGACAATAAAAAAAAACCTCCTTGAGGTACAAGGTATAAACTTGTCAGTCTTGTCTTTGCTCTGGGTGAGGAGAGAAAGTCTCCCCAGCATTCTCTCAAACAGATTTAGTTTTGGTCTTTACACTACCTGATGGCCAGAAAATGCAAGACAAAAACTTCACACTAAGTGCCCAGGATCTGTACATAGCAAGGCTATCACACATCCTCTAAGAAAGCACTCAGTCCTAACTTTATATTAGAGAAGCTTCACAGATTTGGTATGATTGAACTGTGATTTGTAATCACAATTGAACATGCTTTCAAAAGCAGATACGGAATACAAAAAATTGTTTCATGAACGAGAAACAAGAGACTATCAAAAATAGCTAAATTTTGAAGGAAAGAAAAGTAATATAACTTTGGGGGGTGCTTCATCTTTACAAAAACAAATGAACAAAAAAGCAAGCTAAAATATGTAGAAAAAAACATTTTGAAAATCACTGTTTTCTACTATCAGTAAGACAAGAAATAACAAGTGTTGAAGAAGATGTGGAGAAAAGGGAACTCTCGTACAAACTGGTAGTAATATAAATTGGTGCAACCACTATGAAAAACAAAATGGAGGTTCCTCAAAAAATTACCAAGAGCCCTGGCTGGTGTGGATTAGTGGTTTGAACACTGGCCTGCAAACCAAAGGGTCGCCAGTTCGATTCCCAGTCAGAGTACACTCCTGGGTTGCAGGCCAGGTCCCCAGTTGGTGGCACATGAGAGGCAACCACATATTGACATTTCTATCCCTCTCTTTCTCCCTCCCTTCCCCTCTCTAAAAATAAAAAAATAAAATATTTTAAAAAATAAAAAGAATTTTAAAAAATCTTTAAAAATTTTAAGAATAGAGCTACCATATGACCCAGCAATCCCTTTTCTGGGTATCTACTTGAAAAATTTGAAAACACTTATTTATAAAGTTATAGATGTATACCTATGTTCACTGCAGCATTATTCACAATAGCCAAGACATAGAAATGAATGACTGGATAAAGACATGATATACATATAAAAAATGAAATACTACTCAGCCATAAAAAAGATGAAATAATGCCATTTGCAACCACATAGGTGGCTCTTGAGAGCATGATGCTTAAATTAAATAAGTCAGATAGAAACAAAACAAGAACCATACGAATTCACTCATATGTGGGATATAAAACAAAAATCAACAAACATACAAAATAAATAAATTTAGAAAACCAAACTAATACATACAGACAACAGAATCGTGGTTACCAGAGAAGGGGAATAAGAGGAGGATAAAGAGGGTAGAGGGGATCAAATACATAGTGACGGAAGGAGACTAGACATCAGGTAGTGGCCAAACAATAGCGTATACAGAAGTCATATTATGTAAGTTGTACACCTGAAAAGTATATAATAAATATTATTAAACAATGTCATCCAATAAATTTAACAATAAAAACAACTTCATTTTTGCAACCATCAATGTGATGACTGATAAGCAATGACTGTCAATGAATGCTACACCCACAGGAGGAAAGAATATTCAAAATATCTCAACATGTCACTTCACAGATTATAAAGGAAACCAGTACCTTCACAGAATTCGGCATCAGCCTTCTGTTGTAAAGCAACGGAAGGACACAACATCACCTGTGCAACATTGTGCCAGTGTTTAATATTTAACAAAATCACTGTAGAATAGCTGTAGGATATTCTACAAAACAACTGTCCCGGACTCTTCAAAAATGTCAATGTCATAAAAGAAAATAAAACAATTTCTGGGGAGGGTAATTGTTCTAGATAAAGACAAACTAGAGACATAACAATGAATGCAATGTGAGATCTTTGTTATCTTTGAAATTTAAAAATATTAAAAAATGAAACAAACACTGGAACAATTCACAGAAATTTTACCATAAATTAGACATCTACTAACAGTGTTAACAACATTAAATTTCTTGGGTGTAATGACAGTATCCTGGTAATGTAGGAAAATGTCCTTGTATTTACTTTCAAATGGTTTAGAATTAAGTAGACAAAAAGCAAATGCCACAAAATATTTACAATTAGTCATTCATTTATGTGTAGGGAATACAGAGGATCATCATACTGTTCTTTCTATTCCTTTGTAGGTTTCAAAATATTCAAAATGAAAAATAAAAAATATTCAATGAATTGGATTAAATAGCAGTTTAGTGATAGCTTACCAGACAATTAAATTGGAACCAAGGTCTAAAGAAACTACAGCAAAATAAAATGCGATAAAGTAAAAAAGATAAGAAATATGAAAAAGAGGTCGAAAGACAAGACAAAATGAAAAGTTCTAGCCCAGGGTTTCCCAATCTGGCCACTACTAACATTCTGAGCCAAATAATTCCGTGTTGTAGGGACTACCGTGTGCATATTGTAGGATATTTAGCAGTACCCATGGTCTCCACCTATGAGATGCCTATAGCACCGCCCATATGACAAAGTTGTGACAACCAAAACTGTCTCTAGACACTGTCTCTACACAAATGTCCCTTGGCAGGCAGGTTTAAAGGGGTGGGGTAGGGTGGTGGCAAAACAACCCCAGGTTGAAAACCTTTGCAGTAAAACTTAGCAACACACTGAATTTCTAGGAGGGAAGAATTAAGAGAACAGGGCAAGGCAATTTCTGAAGAAATAAAGGCTAACAATTTCCCAAGATTCATTAGAGACATAATAGTCAGACTCAAAAAGAACAATTAATATTAAGCCCAATAAATTCACTGTTCAACGTGTCACAGTCAAACCCTGAAACCAAAAATATCTTAAAACATTCAAGAAAGAAAAAACAAAAACCCTCAAAATTAAGCTTCTCAAAAGCAAAAATAGAAGGCAACAGGTAGCAGATACCATTGAGAGAAGAAGTACCGAGGAAAAATTAGCTGTCAACTGAACTATTATTCCAACATAACTAACTTTCAAAACAAGGGGAACTTAACAAATACAACCCTTACTTTGTCACTAGTAAACTTTTAGAAGAAACTTCTAAATGTTATACTTTAGGAACAAGAAACGTGGAGTGTTAGGGTCTAAGACATAAGAATAGAAAGCAAATAAATGGTAAATTCATTAGACAAGCTAATATTACTTGCAGAGATAATGAAAGTTCATTTATATGGCACCTTAAAATTTAAAAAAACTTTTCCACAAACACAGCACTTCTTTATAAGACACCAATATAAGAGACACCATCGACTCAATTTATGATTTCAAATAATAATTAAAGTCTTTACCTCACGACTGACCAGTTTATATCTGCCTGAAATAGGGCATGTACCACTATATCAGAAAGGGTAAGGGACCTTTCTCAGGTTTCCTGGAAAGTCAGCAACAGTGCTGGAATTTAAAGCCTATTTCTTTATACCAAGTCTCTTTGGTAAAAGTCCAACCATTGTTAATATGAGAATGGTTTGAGAGACATCGATGTAACCTTATAGCTAAGGCAAGTGGGCTAGAATGTGCATGCATGAACAATGATGATTTGACTTTACTAGTCAGTGGGGGCAGTAGAAACCATTGAGTGAGCATGTGTATTGTGTTGCTGTTGCATTCAAAATAACTGAGTGAGTGGAGCAAGAATCTGCATCAAATTTTGCATTAAGTTTGAATATTCCTCCACGGAAGCTATTCGGATGATTCAGAAGACCGCAGCTATAGGCAACTGGTAATTGGCAGCTTCATCACGACAATGTGCCCGCTCATGCATCATGTTTGGAGCAGAGTTTTTTGACAAGACATCAAATCACCCAGGTGACTCATCCCCCTTACAGCCCACATATGGCATCCTGGGACTTCTGGCTTTTCCCCAAACTAAAACCACCTTTGAAAGGGAAGAGATTTCAGACCATCAGTGAGATTCAGGAAAATATGATGGAGCAGCTGATGGTGACTGGGAGGATTGTGTGAGGTCCCCAGGTGCCTATTTTGAAGGGGTCTGAAGTGTCACTGTCATGCATATACTGTTTTTTCTAATGTCTTTTATTTTTCATATTACATGGCTAGATACCTTCTGAACAAACCTCATAAACATAATCCCAAGCTGCAACTCTCTCCTGTACCATGTGGCCCTTTTGAAAAAGAAGCAGGGCTCAGACTGGGGACTTAGGCCATTTCAAGTATCCAGCCACTCCGCTAATGAATCCCTCGTGCAAGGCCCTTTTCTTCCCTGCAAAGCCAACTCTTCTCCCTATTCTGCAGGACAAATGTCAAGAATCAACCTGTCCAGCTTTGCCAATGCTTAGTGTGCCTCCTGCTCTATTTCCAACTGCATTTAGGATCAGTGTTCAACTAAAGCATTTTTGGGCTGTCAAAGTTTCCTCTTTCTGTCCTGAAAGCCCCTTGAAGATAAAAACCATATCTGCAATTCCTTCCATCTTCCTTTTTTTCTCCATTTCTCACACAGTCAGAATAGTGCTGGATAAAGTTAGCATTCAGAAAAATGCTTGCTGATTGGTTTTCTTCCCCACTCCAGATGTCACTCTGAAGATTTTATGCAGCCCTAGACAAACAGAAATGTATTTCCAGAGCAAACCAGACTTGAAAGAGATATAAGTCAAATTCTAAAGACAATGAGATCACTCCAAGGACTTCATTCTCTCTTCTCAGGAGGTCGTCATCCAGGATAATCTGGATTTCAGAAGCATTGGATTTTAGATACTCAGTTGTGTTATTGCACATTAGCTTTAAAAACGTAAATATAACCAATTTAGATAAACAAAGACTAGTTAAGACACAAATTTAATGTGGCTTAGACATGAAGATCATTCTTTTGGGTAGATTAAAAAAAAAAGAAGAGAAAATTAGTACCTTGCCAGTTCCAGGAGGCCCAGCCAACAAGACAGCTCTTCCAGCCATTTTCTTGCTTTTGATTAATTCTACTATCACACCACATGCCTAGACACCACAATGGAAATAATAAATTAGTATTAAAGTGTTTCACAAGGGGAAAAGGTCCAGTCTCTGGTCCAAACAATTCACATAGTGATTCAACTAATATTGCACTGCCAATATACTGCAGGCACTGTTCTAGGTGCCGGAGGCAGTGGAGGGCAAGACAGAAAAGGCTTGTGCTTACAGAGCACCTATCCCTGTGGAGGAGACAATCACAAAGATATTGTACAAGATCACTACCATAAAGAACAAAGGGTAATGATATAGTGAATGCTTGGGGCAGAGGTTACTCTAGAAAGAGTGATCTGGGAAGACCTCTCTGATGACAATATATTTGATATGCAAAGCTCTGAGCAAGGCAGAGTTAGAATTGCATTCAACGGAAAGAGCAAATTCAAAATACAGAAATGAGCTTAGTGTGTGTAAGGGACAGAAAGACTATATACAGTGACCAAGGTACAGTGAACAAAGAGAATGGAAAGATGATGTTGAAAGACAGGCAGAGGACAGAACTCAGAACAGAATGTTAAGAGTCCACATTAAAGTTTGGATTTTATTATACATGTGATGGGAAGCTAATAAAAGGTATTAGGGTATGTGTCATGTTACGATGATTTGTTTCTAAAAGATCTTGTCCTGGCTGGTGTGGTTGATGGACTGAGTGCCAGCCTGCGAACCAAAAGGTTATAGGTTCAGTTCCCAGTCAGGGCACACGCCTAGGTTGCAGGCCAGACCCCTAGTTGGGGATGTGAGAGCAACCCATCATTTCTCTCACACATTGATGTTTCTGTCCCTCTTTTTCCGTCCCTTCCCCTCTCTCTAAAAATAAATAAAATCTTTTTAAAAAGATCTTGATGGCTACTGTGTAGACAGTAGAAATACAAATGAGGGCAGTGACTTTTAGTCTGGGGACCAGATATAGACTATAGGAGGCCACATACTTCCTAAAAATGGAAATTAAATTGGAAGCAAAAGCACATGCATAAGCACATGCATATGTTTACATGTGCATTTTTTGATTCACAGCTTTTATCAGATTCCCAAATTAACTTATTAAGGTTTAAGAATCAGTGACATACAATACTAGTTGACCATCAGTTAAGTGTCCCAGAATGCTGCACATGAGGTTAAACTTGTGGCACAAGATTCACTGAATGCCTTTCAAATATTCAAGATCAATTTCTTGCCTTAGCTCTTCTCTCTGGGCAGTTGTGACATTGTACCCTATTGGCAGGGTGTTGTGAATACACCTTATCTCCTCTATTACCACTATTGGTATCACACATAAGACAGCCTCTCAAAAACTGTGGGATCAAGGAACGCATGTAGACGTGCTCTATTCCATTTCTGGCTCAGCTGGAAAAGCACAGTGCCCTTCATAGAGCCTATAAGCTATTCTTCAGATGCTGCATGCCTAAAAAGATGGAGCCACCATGGTCTTTTCATTGAACCCCAGGATATCATAATCCTCAGCACTAAAAGTCTTTGGGAAACTCAAAGGAGGTGCAAGAGATTTTCTAAACCTTGGATATGTACTCTTATTCACACACTAGAACCTCTTCCATTTAATCTTCCTCAGTTTAAGCTCCAACTTCTCTCCAATGAGCTATGTTCAGTGAATACTAAAATGCAGAAAGTAAAAACTGGAAAGGTCTTTCAAAGATCACTTAGTCCAACTCGTTTTTCAGATGAAGATATTAAACACCAGTAAGACAGCTAATATGACCAGTCGCACATTACACATGACTAGATCATACAAGGATCTGGTAGCTGAGCTGGGATGCCTATTAATTCAATAAATACTGAGCCCCTATAATGAGTTAGATTCTGGGTGTTTAATATTATCTTGTTTCTATCCTCATAGTCAAACAAAGGCATACAGCATCACAGTTCAGAGCATGGATTCTAGATTCAATAGACCAGGGTTTAAATCCTGGCTCTACCATTACCACCTGAGCAACCTTGGACCTACCTACTTAACCTCTGTGAGCTACAGTTTCATTATCTGACAACTGAATTTATGACAGTGGCATACACGTTAAGGTTTAAGGGTAAAATGTACTACTGTTTGCAACTTAATTTAAAATGTGAAAATGGATTTAATTTGGTAGATTGATAAATGAACAGATAGATATATGATAGAGCAACAGAGTAATATGTTAATTGTAGAATTTAGGCACACAAGTTTTCACTACACAAGCCTTACAAGTTTTCACTACACAAGCCTTACAACTTTTCTGTATGCCTGAAATGTGTCATAATAAAATGGGATAGACACCTATTAGAGGTGAAAACAAGACATACAGGAGATAAAGCTGCTTAGTACAGTGCTTGGCACATAACAAGCATTCAACTAATGTTAGCTATCTGCAGTAATAGGTCCTTGGTAAGCAGAAGCTATATAAAGAGAAATGTGAAAGCCACCATGACTATGTCAATATTGCCTTTTTGAAAAGATGATGGTCTAAATGGAAGCCAGAGGCTTTTTTTTGGGGGGGGGCCCTTTCTATTAGCACATGCCATGGGGCCACATTTACCCAGACTTACTATGGCAGCCAGATAAAGCTAGAAGAATACAAGAATGTTGGCAGGTGTAACCAACTGTGGGAGGAGTTGGAAATGGGGCTGCAGAGGAAGACTGGTGCTGGGATTTAAACCCAGGCATGGCAGCCATGCCAGGGCAGGACTACATGGCTTTTGAAGGGAAAACCCCATGCTTTGGGGTGCTCCCTTTTGCCACGTGGCTTAGGAAGCAGGAGAGACTTTGCCTAGAAGAAAAGGGGTGAAAGGGTTCTTGCTGGTGGGCCAAGAGAAGGTGCCATATGGCTTTGGATTAACTAGGGATTGTGGCAGTGACCCAGTTGATGGTGCCAGGAGCCCGAACCACCATCTCTTTCTTTTCCTGAAATATGGTACCCCAGACTAGGGCACAGGAAGAAGGAAGGACTTTGTGTGTCTATGGACTTAAGTCTAAAGGGCTTAAGTATTTTAATGGAGATGTTAAGTTACTACCTAGATGTTTAAGTCTAGGAGTAAACAGTCTTAATTCACATTAAGGTTTCTGTAGTTGCTAAAGCACACACAACAAGGTCTCCCTAGCTGGTGTGGTTCCATGGATTGAGAACCAGCCTGCAAACAAAAAGGCTGTAAGTCTGATTCCCACTCAGGGCTCATGCCTGAGTTGTATAGGCCAGGTCCCCAGCTAGGGGTCCTGAAGAAACCACGGTAAGGCCAAGAGGCATAAATCTGACCTGAGAACACAGCAACTGACAGGTGGCTCTGAGATCATAGAGAGCACTAAACTGGGAGTCAGAATTACACCTGCATACAAATCCCAGCATTACCATTACTAAACTGAGTGGGAAGTGGGTAGGTGAAGTGACATCTCCCACCCTCAAATTTTTAATATGCAAGAAATAATACCACAAAAAAGCTCAAATAGTTTTGTCATTATAATGTAGATGAAAAAAAACTTGGCACTATTACCACCTAACAAGAGTGGGTAGAATTGGAATTGTCAAAAGGATGCTGAAAGTATGGATAGACTGTTCCTCCCTGTAACTCACTTCCTTTTTTGTTCCCAGGCTCGGAATCACAGTGAACTTTTTAAGGCTGATCACTGCCATACTTTAAAACTCCCAGTCTCCCACACCACTGACAAAAAATCCAAATTCCTTATCTTAGCCATTAAAGCCCCGCAGGAAGTGGCCCCCAGCAACAAATAATTATTGTCCTTACAGGTTTAAAAATTTACCGTCTGCCTTTCACCATACTAGAATGTAAGCCCCATTAGGAGCAGGGACCTAACTAATCTTGTTCTCTGCTGGAACTCAGCCTCGCGAACAGAGCACTAGAAGGAGTTGGGCGGGAGGACTCACTCAAGATATACTGTCAATGAGATGAAGCAAGCAGTCACGACTCCCGTTGGGTCGTCACCTGCTCTTCCGGAACGGCCTCACTCCCAGTCCCAGTGAGGCGCCTCCTCGCCTCACAGGCAATTTTCACTGACCTGAAAAAACTTAAGCGGGACACTCTAGCGCATACCCGGCTCTGAACCCGCACCTTAGCGGCTCTTTGCAGCAGCAGCCCTGCTCAACCGCCCAATCCCCAAACCCACCAGCGAGGCAGCCCTACCTCTCGCGCGTTCTCCTGGCCCACCAGCCCGGAGGCTGCCTGCTTGGCCAAGCCGCTCTCGTCCAGCCCCAGCCCCTTCACGTGGCTGTGGGAGGCAATGCGCTGAGTCTTCGTGGTGCTCTTCACCTCCTCTATCTTCATCTTCTGGACGTCAGGAACCAAGATCTGCGAGGAAAACCAGGAGTGAGTAATTCACAAACAGTAGCACCGTTACCATGAGGCCCTAACTAGAGCAGTTTATCAGGAACCACCTTGGCCCCCCTATTGGCGGAAAAAGAAACACCTCACTCCCCATTGGCTAATGGCTGCGCCCTTCGCGGTGTTAGTGGAGGCTCCGCCTACCCACATCCGGTGCGTCTACCGGTAATATCCCCCACTGGGCCCCACCCCCACCCTCCCAGCCTAAGTCGGCTTTTCTTCCGAGAGGTGGAGGGCTGTGGCAACAAAGGAGTGCTTGTGGTAACATAGGAGCAGCTGGCCAAGCCCAGGTTTAATTTAGGGCTGGCTGCTGCCAGGAAGGGGGGTGGGGGTGGGGGTGGGGGGGTGTTTATTTTTTTAAATTAATTTATTTTTTAAATTAATTAATTTTTTAAATAGTTTATTTATTTATTTTTAGAGAGAGGTAAAGGGAAGGAGAAAGAGTGGGAGAGAAACATCGATGTATGGTTGCCTGTCACCTGTCTCCCACTGGGGACCTGGCCTGTAACCCAGGCATGTGCCCTGACTGGCAATCAAACCTCGATCGTGTGGTTCGCAGGCCCGCGCTCAATCCACTGAGCTACACCAGCCAGGGCATATTTTTTTTAATTTATTGATTATGCTATTATAGTTGTCCCATGTTTTCCTCCCCTTTATTCCCCTCCATCCTGTACCCACCCTTCCACCATCATTCCCACACCTTAGTTCATGTCCATGGGTCATACATGTACATTCCTTGGCTTTTCCATTTCTCCTACTATTCTAAACCTCCCACTGTTTTGTACTTACTATTTATGCTTTTTATTCCCTGTATCCTTTACCCCATTCTCTCCCTCCCACTCCCCTGTTGCTAACCCTCCATGTGATCTCCATTTCTGTGAATCTGTTCCTGTTCTAGTTGTTTGCTTAGTTTTTGTTTTTGTTTTTTGGGGGTTAGTTGTTGATAGTTGTGAGGTTATTGTCATTTTACAGTTCATAGGTTTTGATCTTCTTTTTCTTAGATAAGTGTAACAGGATGGAGCCAAGAGGGGGGCCTCAAATAGGGATTTGTAATGGGATCCAGAACTCAAGGTGTCCAGGAAATATTAGAAATATATATATAGAATGTTCCCACTCCCACAAGTCTGAGCTGAGGGATGGGACACATGGAGCAGGGCCATTCAGAGCTGTGTTATATAGCAATAGCTTTGCATTTAACCTCTGGCATGGTCATTTAACATATCTATAACCTTTAACTGGTTTTATAGATATGTTAAACAGCTGTAGCCCTTTGAGCTAAGGGGATGGAAGTGACTTCCACCTTAGATGTCTCTGGGAGGCAACTCCCCCTGGTTACAAAGCCTGCATGACAGCTTGGAGAAGATTGGCTCCATGCCATGGGACCACACTTGCCCAGACTTACTATGGCAGCCAGGTAAAGCTAGAAGAATACAGGAATGTTGGCAGGTGTAACCAACTGTGGGAGGAGTTGGAAATGGGGCTGCAGAGGAAGACGTGCTGGGATTTAAACCCAGGCATGGCAGCCATGCCAGGGCAGGACTACATGGCTTTTGAAGGGAAAACCCCATGCTTTGGGGTGCTCCCTTTTGTCACGTGGCTTAGGAAGCAGGAGAGACTTTGCCTAGAAGAAAAGGGGTGAATGGGTTCTTGCTGGTGGGCCAAGATAAGGTGCTATATGGCTTTGGATTAACTAGGGATTGTGGCAGTGACCCAGTTGATGGTGCCAGGAGCCCGAACCACCATCTCTTTCTTTTCCTGAAATATGGTACCCCAGACTAGGGCATAGGGAGAAGGAAGGACTTTGTGTGTCTATGGGTATTCTAAAGGACTTAAGTATTTTAATAGAGATGTTAAGTTACTACTTTAAGTCTGTATAGCTTTTAAATAAATTATTTTCACAAATCTCTGGCATTGAGAGACGTCTTTCCTCTGGCAGCAGGCATAGCAAATCTAGTGGGGGTGGGACCCCTGGAGGAAAAAAAAGGTGGGGGGGTCTTTTCAATAATAGTATATCATATACCCCCCTCGGGGCTGTCCTGTAACATAAGTACCTTTAATGTTTCATATAATAAGGGCTTGATGATGATGAACTCCTTTACTTGATTTTATCTGGTAAGCACTTATCTGCCCTACATTCTAAATGATAGCTTTGCTGGATAGAGCAATCTTGGATGTAGGTCTTTGCCTTTCATGTCTTCCAATACTTCTTTCCAGCCCCTTCTTGCCTGTAAGGTCTCTTTGAAAAATCAGCTGACAGTCTTATGGGAAGTCTTTTGTAGCTAACTGTCTCCTTTTCTCTTGTTGCTTTTAAGATTCTCTCCTTATTTTTAATCTTGGGTAATATAATTATAATGTGCTTTAGTGTGTGCTTCCTTGAGTCCAACTTTTTTCAGACTCTCTTTGAGCTTCCAGGACTTCTGGAGGTCTATTCCTTTGCCAGATTAGGGAAGCTCTCCATTATTTGTTCAAATAAGTTTACAATTTCTTGGTCTTCCTCTTTTTCTGGCACTCCTATGATTCGGATGTTGGAATGTTTAAAGTTGTCCCAGAGGTCCCTGAGCCTCTCACCTGATATTTCTGGAATTTTTGTTTCTTCATTCTGTTCTGGTTGAATGTTTACTTTTTCCTTCTGCTCCAAATTGTTGATTTGAGACCTGGTTTCCTTCCCTTCACTGTTGGTTCCTTGTACATTTTCCTTTGTTTCACTTTTCATAGCCTGCACTTTTGCTTCTATTTTGTTACCATTCTCAACCATTTCTGTGTGCATCCTGATTACCAGTGTTTTGAACTCTGCATCTGATAGGTTTGCTATGTCTTAATTGCTTGTATTTTTTCTGGAGATTTGCTCTGTTCTTTCATTTGGGCCATAGTTTTTGTCTCAGAACACGTATTACTTGTAAAGGGCAGAACCTTAGGTATTTACCAGGGCAGGGCAACCCACTTGGCTGCTCTCTGGCACTGTATGTGGGGGAGGGGGTCTGAGAGGGAACAATGCTGCTTGCTCAGTTCTTTGAGGGCTTTCAGTCACCTCCTCTGCTACCCATAAGCAAATTGGGCCCTTATGGTGCTGATTTCTAGGTGGGTGGTTTTGTGTATGTTCTAGGACCCTGTGAGTTTCTCCAACGAATTCTCCTGTGAAGCTGGGAGTTTGTCCTGCCACCTCAACCCTCCACAGATTTTTTCATTCAGAGGTTTTGCAGCTTTATTTCCCTGCACTGGAACCCTGGGTTGCGCAGTTTGTCTTGCTCCTCTGTTATTCCTCCCAGTTTATCCTCACGCAAACATGCAACTGCCTGCTCTACAAGCTGCTGCCTCACCTGATCTGCCAGCTGCCACCCTGCCCGCCCTGGTCCTCCAGCCACTACTTTATCACAAGTCCTCTCCTCCCCAGCTGCCCATCTCCGCTCCTCCTACCAGTCTGGATGAATGTTTCTTTAACTCCTTGGTTGTCACACTTCCATGCAGTTTGATTTTTCAGGCAGTTCTGGTTATTTTTTGTTTTTAAATATGTTGCCCTTCTTTTGGTTGTTCAAGGAGGCAAAGTGTATCTACCTACTCTTCCATCTTGGCTGGAAGTCCCCAGATGTGGGTTTTCTTGTGCCATCCTATACATCTTGCACTGGAGCATCTTATTCTTCAGCAAAGTTCAAGTTATCACCTCCATTTTGGAGATGGAGAGACAGAGTTAGAGCTTAAGCCTGGACTTTTGCTTACTCAGTTTTCTGACTCCTAAGCCTTGTTTCTCCTTGGGGAGGCCCAGCTCATCCAGCCAATCACTGCTGCAGGGAACTGCCTTCCTCTGGTTCTCCTCCCCTCCACCTGCTCCTTTGCTTAAATTAAGTTGACTGTAAATAACATTTTTTGTTTCCCAAACTCTACAACCCTGTAAGGTAGTATAATTCCTAATACAAATAAATACAGAGGCTAAAAGTGGTTCAATAACCTACCCAAAAATGCACAGTAAATAATCAGAACTGGAACATCAGCTGAGCACTTAATGGCTTCACAGCCTATATGATTCTCACCCAATCTTATGACCTCAGATGAGACAATTAGCCAGCAAACGTGTTATGTCAGGTTTCATAATGATATTAACACTCCATATTCCACAGTGTACTCTCCCTATCCATCCAGTCATTCAGCAAATATTTGTTAGCACCTGCTATGAGCCAGATACTATAATGCACTAGGAACACAGAGATAAAATACAAACTCCAGCCTTGAGAGCTTAGCCTTTAATTGGGAAATTTGCAACATGAAATGTGCAGGAACAGGTACATCCACTTGTACCTGTAAGCTCAGAGCAAGGCCATCTGGAATAGCCTAGAATGCCAAGGAATGCATCATGAGGTGAAAATGCCTAGGTCAAATCTTGATAAGTGGGTAAGAGTTCCTCAGAAGCACATGTTATGTCACCATGTTACAGATGAGTTAACTGAGGTGCAGATAAAGGGAAGGACTTGCCCAGAGCTTAGGACAACCTGCATTAGGGTTAAGACAGATCTTCCTGACTTCGAATCTAGCTAGTAGTTCCTGACTCGCATCTCCTTGTACTTCTCCATCATAACTTTTGAATCTAAGTTTCTAATTATTTGCAAGATTATTGGGTCAATGTTTGTCACTCCCACTAAACTACAGGCATTATGAGAGTGTAGATCAATTTGTGTTTTTCATAATTTTATAAACATTTATTAAAAATTTTATTTGATTTTAGAGAGAAAGGGAAACATTGATATTTGTTGTCCCACTTATGCATTCATTGGTTGATCCTGACCTGGGATTGAACTTGCAACCTTGGGGTATCAGGACAATGCTCTGACCAACTGAGCTACCCTGCTAGGTTTGTTTGTCATTTTAACCCAAGTACCTGGCACACGGCATGGCTCACAAGGCATCTTATGAATTCAAATAATTTTCTAGAACCCCACATGCACATTTGAAATCATGCAGTTTTGCTGCATATATTTTACACACTGGGTTTTTGTGACTTGGTAATGGTTTCTGTCTGTGAATGGAAACTTTTGGCATTTTATGAGCTTGAAAAAGAAGCAAGGCATTAGAAAACTATGGTTGTTACTTGTGGCCTATTATCCATCAATCCTATGGTTATAACTTTTGAGTCACTCCAGAGGATTGCATCTCTTTGACTTATTGCTGGTCATACCCATAGGTGAGGAGCAATTCCTTTCACCCTGTGGATGAGGGAGCCTTTCTTCCAACTAATAGTCAAAGCGAGGCACTCTATGGAACTACTTTGTGTATTAGTTTGGAGAGAAAACCACTTTTACATTCCTTATTTTAAGCCCCCAAACATTGGAACAAAGTAGAGAGAGATTTCCTTCCATCCTAATATGGAGGTGGGAAGATAAAGACAGTCTCAGAGGAATCCCTTGGAGGACTTGGTCCAGTGGTTTTCAAACTACATTCCCTGGAGTTGTAGAATTAATTCATTCATTGCTAGTATGAGTGGGGAAGGGGAGGGCTGAGAATACAGGATATCAGTTCCATTCCCTACATCCCCTTCCACCAAAGCTGTTCTTTTTTTTTTTTAATCCTCACAGGAAAAAACATTTTTTATCACTTTTAGAGGAAGAGGAAGAAAGAGAGAAACATTGATGTGAGGGAGAAGCATTGCCTGGACCAGGGATAAAACCCGCAAATGTAGTTATGTGCCCTGACTAGGTATTGAACCTGCAACCTTTACAAGAGCATTCCAAACAACTGAGTCACATCAGCCAGAGTAAAGCTGTTCCATTATTTTACAGCTAAAGAACAATTCAAAAATCACTAATCTGGCTTAGCATTCTCATTTTACATGTAAGGAAATTGGGGCCCTAAAGAGGATAGAATTTGTCCAGTGTGACAAATTGATCAATTGAGTGACAGAGTCCCAGACCCCAGATCTGGTGTGCAAAGAAGCTGGACCTGGTTACAGAACCAGACAATACTTTTTATTTAGACAGAAGTCTATATGGTTGGCCAGTGTCTGAAATACACAGGTGGATGAAGGGCAGGTGAGGCCCACAGTAGCAGATGTGTGTTATTTTGCCTACCCAGAATCCAACCAACTTCCTCTGGCTCTCATCACTCTAATTTTCTTTAGAGAACCACCATTCCCCCACTTTGAGTCCAGGTGGTTTGAATGGGTTGATCCCACCCCAGCATTGTTTCAGGTATGGATCAAGAACCTGGCCTAGCCTATCAAAGTATCCCATCCTCCTGGACATGGAGATTGGTTTGGGAATGTGAGTGGAGAGTCCAAGAACAGTCCTGGTACTTTTATATTTTCCAGGTCATCTTTGCCTACTTCATGGGAAGACTCTGCCTGAGAATGAAGCCAATACAGCAGAGAAAAGCTGACAGAAATTCCTGATAAAATCTTTTACATTCCCTGATCCAGCCCTGCCCTACTAGCAATGTAATATGGCACTGACATTGGGACTTAAAATGGTTTGATTTAGGTTTTTATCTGTGGGTTATGAAAATCCTTATCAATATAATGATACAAATGCAGGTAATTGTGTGGACTGCTACATTTCACAATCATGCTGTGTGAAAACCCCAGGACTGCGAACTCTTTCATTCTCTCACTCCTATGACCCTGGCTCTTTCACCTCTAGTCCATTCCCTCTTTTCTCCAGTACAAGTAAGCTCATCTCAGTCACTTGATTTCCAACCATTTGCTCCCTCCTGGACTTGACTTCTTTCATACCTGACCTTTGAACCCACAAGCCCAGGTCAAGCCTACCTCTGCCTTCTACACTGGCTAATGAAGGCTGCTATATATGTTAGCAGATAATTATTCAGTGGTTCCATGGAACTATTTCATGGTTATGGTTTTCAGCTTCAGCTGAGCACTCAGAGCTGCCCAACTATTATTTTATTAGTTAGGATATTAACTTGGCTGCAGCCACAGAGAGATACAAAGTAATAGTTAACAAATAGGATAGAAGTTACTTTTTCTCACATAAGGTCCAAGCAGGTATTCTACCTGGTGAGTGTTGAGATCTGGGAAATTGAGAACATAGCCTGACCACAGCAAAACAGGAAGAAGGAACAGCATGCAAACAAAGGCTGAGCAGACATCCTGCAGTATGTAAGTGTTCCACTCAGAGCAAAACAGGCTGATTGTAATCTGCTTAGCTTTGAATTTTGAAACCCCACCCTGTTCCCATGCGAGGTCTCTGTCAGCAAACAGCTAACTGCCACGTCTGCTTCTGTTCAACGCTTGCTTGCTCGCCCCTATATAAGGACTTAGCTGTAAGTGCTCGGCGCGACTCCCATCTGCAGCCCTCTGGGCACCGTGTCTCAGGACACTCCGAGAGTTCGCCCCTGCGCAGGTTAAGCTTGGCCAATAAAATAAGATCAAAACCCTGAAAGGTCTTCGAAAGTTATTCTTGCATCTGGTGGATATAACAGTGAGCTCTATAATTATTAAAGATCTCTCTTCCTCTGTCTTGTTACTGTGCCATTCTCACACACACCTTATATCCCATTGTCCAAGATGGTTGCTCAAGCTCCCCCTAAAAGGTGTGTTTGAAGCAGCAAGAAGAAAAGGGAGGGTATGCTCCTTTCCTTGAACCTTGACCTCAAGTTGCACCACCATTTCTATTCATGTCCCAATGGTCAGACTTGATCAAATACCTGCAAGGGATGCTGGGAAATGTGGTCTTTTTTTTTTTTTAATTTTTTAAAAATATTTTATTATTTATCTTTAGAGGGGAAGGGGGGGAAGGAGAGAGGGAGAGAAACATCAATGTATGGTTGCCTTTTGTGCATCCCCTGCTGGGAACTGGCCTGCAGGGAACCGGCCTGCAACCCAGGCACGTGCCCTGACTGGGAATTGAACCGTGATCGTGTGGTTCGCAGGCCCCGCGCTCAATCCACTGAGCTACACCAGCCAGAGCGGAAATGTGGTCTTGAACTGGAAAGATATGTGCCTCACTAAAAATTCTATTCCTGTGTGAAAAGGGGGAGTAGATACATTGGGAAACAACTCTTACTCCTTGTTTTGAGCTTCTGTCTGCCAACCACTGCTGGCTTATCCTTGTTTCCTGACTCAAAAGCAGACATGAAATTCCCCCTAGTTAAACTAACCCTACTAAGTGGGTTTCAGATAACAATCTGGGGTCTATTCCATCTCAGAGACCTCATTCTACCCATTATCCTACTTTTCCTGAATTTCCATCTATTCTCCTTGATCATTTTCCATATTTCTATTCTCCCTGATAATTCCCCATATGATATAAACATACTCAATCTTTTCTGTGGGGGCGACTTCCTCACGAGTCCCCCCGAGTGCCACGGATAAGAATGAATATGGCCGAGACATGATGTGATCTGCCTGGGGAGGAGAAGTGAGCAGTGGCCAGTTTCTCGGGGAAAAAGGCCAGCTGCGGCCAGTTTCTCTGAGGAGAAAAAAGGCCACAAGCACCCTCCTCCAGAGCCTTTTATTAGGTTCTAATACAGAGGAATACAGGGTGGCAAGGATTAAACAGTAGATAACATTTCAAAGAAATCTGAGGGCTTAGTATGAGTCAGAGTCTGTTAGAAACAATTTTAGGGTTTCCTGCTCAAACCCTTAACATATGAATGAAAGCACTCTTAGCAGAGCAGATTTCATGGGTTTATCAGGAAGTCTTTGTGATGCCAGATTTTCCCCCAGGACACACTCAATCAAGGCAAGGAGCTGCACCTCTCCCCAACAGGTATTCAGGCTTAAGGGAATTAGAGCCAAGAAGCACTTCTCCCAGAGGATGTGGGGACTCAGGCTATGTCAAAGCCAGGGGGCAAGAGTCCATTGCTCTTTGTTGCAGTCCCCCAAACTCCTTCCATGATGGCCTCCCAAGTGGTCAAGTCTGGCTTAGGTTGCCCCCCCCCCCGTGAGGGGTCTTACCTGTCATTGACTTCTGACCAAGCTTTGGGGGCAGGGAGAGGAAACTGAGACAGCGTTTGCTACTAGAGACAAGCTTTATCTCCTGCAGCTGGCACTCCCAAAGGTCGTCCCTTGCCCTTAGCCACAAAGTGTCCAGACACAATTCCTAGAACCATGGCAGAGCGGTCTACAACACTTTTTCATATTAAAACACATTATATTTAATGATGAAAGACTGAAATTTTTTACCCTAAAATCAGGAACAAGATAAGGGTGCCTGTTTTTGGCACTTCTATTCAACATAGTACTGGAAGTTCTATCCAGAACAATTAGGCAAGAAAAATAAATAAAAGACACCCAAAATGAAAAGGAATAAAGGCTAGCTCTATTCTTAGATAACCTACTTCAATATATAGAAAACCCTAAAGAATACACACACACACAAACTGTTAGGGCCAAGTTGTTGAGTACAAAATTAACACAAAAACCAGGATATAAATAAATACAATCTTTCCCATTTTAAAATGTACACTGCTGGTGTTGGCAGAAATGGACAAACCCATCCTAAAATTCATATGAAATATCAAAAGACACCAAAAAGCCAAACAATCTTGTAAAAGAAAAACAAAGTTGGCAGCCTCCTACTTCATGATTTCAAAACTTACTATAAATCTACAGTAATCAAAACAGTGTAGTACTAACATAAGGATAGGGATACAGGTCAAAAGAATGGAATACACAGCCCAGAAATTAACTCTCACATACTTTCAAGGGTGTCAAGACCCTTGAAATGGCGAGAGGACAGTGTCTTCAACAAATAGTCTTGGAAAACTGAATATTCTTACGCAAAAGGAAGAAGTTAGACCTTTATTTTGTACAACATACAAAATTAGATGGATCAAAAACCTGCTTTTGAGCCCTTAACCTATAAAAACCTTAAGAGAAAACATAGGGGTAAATCATTATAACCTTGGGTTTGGCAATAGTTTCTTAAATATGACACCAAAAGCACTGACAACAAGAAAAAAATAGGTAAGTTGGACTTCGTCAAAATTAAAAACTTTTGTGCATCAAAGGACAGTATCTCTCAAGAGATTGTAAGGATAATCCACAGAATGAGAGAAAATATTTGCAAATTATACATCTGATGAGGCTTTGATATATAGAATATATAAAGAATTGCTACATTTAAACAAAAAAGAACAACCCAGTTTACAAATGAGCACAGGACTTGTTAGACATTTCTCTAAAGAAGATATGCAAATAGCCAATAAGTACATGAAGAGATGCTCAACATCATTGACCTTAAAGAAATGCAAATCAAGCCCTGGCTAGTGTAGCTCAATGGATTGAGCGCAGGCCTGCAAACCACACCATGGCTGTTCAATTCCCAGTCAGGGCACATGCCTGGATTGCAGGCCAGTTCCCAGTGGGGGACTCACGAGAGGCAACCATACATTGATGTTTCTCTCCTTCCCTTCCTCTCTAAAGATAAATAAATAAAACCTTTTAAAAAACTATTAAAAAAAACTTCAATGTATAATATATGTAATTGCTTTGAAGACTGTGGACTCAGGAGGCAGACTGGCTTTAAAAAAAAAAAAGAAAGAAATGCAAATCAAAACTACAATGAGCCCTGACCAGTGTATCTCAGTTTGTGGGCCTCTTCCTGAAAACGGAAGAGTCATGGGTGTGATTCCTGGCCAGGGCACATGCCTATGTTGCAGGTTTGGTTCCCCACTGGGGTGCATATGCAAGGCGGCCAATCGGTGTTTCTCACATCAAGGTTTCTCTCCTCTTTCTCTTTCCCTTTCCCCCTCTCTGAAATCAGTCAGCATAGCCTCAGGTGAGGATAAAGAAGAATGACATATATTTCATACTTATTCATATGGTTATAATTTAAAAAAGAAAAGAAATACTGAGAAGGATATGGAGATATTGGACCCCTGAGTATTGCTGGTAGGAATGTAAAGGAGTGCAGCTACTGTGGAAAATAGTTTCTTCGATCCTCAGTAAGTTAAACACAGATTTACCATATAACCCAGCAATTTCAAATCTAGATATACTCCAAAGAACTAAAACCAGGGACTCAGATATTTGTATACCAATGTTCCTAGCAGCATTATTCACAGTAGCTATGATATTATAATTTATAATAAGAAATATGTATGTGTTTTTTGTCTCTGTTTCTGGCTCCTAAAACCTACTTGGAATTTTCTAAGTGATGAGATCTGTAAAGGTATTTCTTATTATATTAATGTTGTCGCTTTTAGATCAATACATAAGGATGGATCTAGTTGCCCAGATAAACCACCATGTAATTAAAGGGTTGGAACTTTCAGTCCCCATCTGCACCTGGGACTTCCAGGGAAGGGAGAGAGGTTGGAGGTTGGGTTATTAATTACCAGTGGTCAATCATTTAATCAATCAAGCCTGTGTAATGAAGCCTTCATAAATACCCAAAAGGATGGGGTTCAGAGAGCTTTATACATTGGTAACACATGGAGATTTGGGGAGAGTAGCATGCTCAGAGAACATGAAAGCTCCAGAATCTTTCTTCTTTTGTTGACCTATGTATCTCTTCATCTGGATGTTGGTTCATATCTTTTAATATCCTTTGTAATGTTAAACAAAATTCAAGTAAATTTTAAAGATCTTACTGGCTTTATTCAATGATTCATGAATTAAGCAACATCCAATTAGCAGATAGAAAGGAGCTGTATAAAATAAAAGACTTTTATACAAAGAAGGAAGAAGGAACCAGGAAGTTATACTGAGCAAAAAAGCAAATTGGTTATTGCAAGGTCACTTTCTTTTAGGAGATTGCAAGGGGTGTATCAAGCCAATTACCTAATTAGTGCTTATCAGTCGATTTCTGATTGACTGGTTTATGGTTCCATTTTTGGAAAAACCAAAAACTGTAATTAGGTTAAGTCTTGCCCTGACTGGTGTGGCGTAGTTGGTTGAAGGTTGTCCCCCAAAGTGAAAGGTCCCCAGTTCAATGCCTGGTCATGCCACATGCCTAGGTCCGAGGTCCTAGGTTGGGGTGCTTTAGGGAGGTAATTGATCAATGTTTCTCTCTCACATGAATGTTTCTCTCCCTCTCTTTCTTCCCCCCTTCCCCTCTCTCTAAAATAAGTTAATTATTTAAAAAATTTTTAAAGTTAAGTCTCTGGTGACTTGGGGCTTAGTGTAAGTGACTCACTTTTGGAAGTGTTGTCTTATTTTTCATAATTGTCCCTCCTCATCTGCCTTTAAATCAGACTCTCAGCCTGAGAGATGTGATCAAAATTTAAGGCACTAGCATTACTTCCAGCTATCGCTTTGAAGTTTTCACAGTTTTTTTGCTGAATCCCCATGTGGTATTTACAGGTCATGGTAACATTTTGCTGAATCTCTGGTATTCACAAGTCAGGACATTGGGGTCACATTTTTTGAGTTGGTCTTTGTCTTTGTTCCTTTTCTGATGTTCTAGCCTTAGGAAGATCAT